TTCAGGTCAACACAGAAGCTCAGGAGGCTGGAGATCTGACGCAACTGCGCCATACTACCGACATGGCGAAAGACCGCTCTGGTAGAGTGACATACAGATCCCAAACGCATTGCCTGGAAAAAGGAGCAGTTCTTTGCACAGACAACCTGATTGGGATTAAAGAACCAAGAGCCCCCACAGAGGTTACAGAGGGTGGAGACTTGGTGGCCCAGGAACTGCTTGCAGTCGTGCCATGAGAGGCCCTCACCGAACTGAAATTAAGGCCAGTCCGGCTCCTGCATTGCAAAAAGTTTTAAAGTTCACATTTGTAATTTTTTATATTTACAGTAATATTGCATGCCTCTTCCGCAGCTCACTAGATGCAGTTATAGCATTAATAGACACAATATATTATTGTCACATAAGGTCTGAAAAAGATCGAAAACTGATTTAGGTTCACCACCAGTTACATATGCTGTGTTATATATGTGACCCTCGAGAGGTTATTAATATAGCTACTCACAGATTAATTTAATAATTCACAGTACTTAAGCTGCACTGTTAAATACTTCTCTCAAGCCTAATAAGAATGAAGCTGCATGGCCAGTTGAGGCCAAACTAGACAATGTTACATGGCTCCCTTTCTTAATTTTTGAATGTCTGATCATTACGTTACTTCTACCATTTATACCTAACATAAATGTGTCTTGTTTATGCTTTCTTTACTTAACGTAGCACATAGGTAAATAGCTCTGGCCTTGGCGGCACGCACACACGAAATAGATACCCAGATGTGGAGCATAGTATTTACGGTTTATAATGTCATGATTATGCCTCCTCTACTTAACGTATTATACGAATACGAGTATTATACGAATATGAGGCTTTAACCATTGCAGCATACCATTGCCCATGCTAAAACAGATGTATTTATGGGTCATCACTCAGTGGTAAAACGACTGTTTCCCGGCCACATTGCCTCATTGGGCATTAGGTTAATGTAATTTACTACTGCTTCCCTAAAGACATCATATAGCTATTAAGATATGCTAGCATACACGGATATATAGTAATTGAACGTGATAAATCTAGATGATCTGAAACGCACGCCTTCAAGTAGGCGACTATGTGCTTTTATGTACACGAACCGTTATACACGCCTCTGCCCAGGCGAATATCTGCATTTATACACCTGTTCAGATCTACAAACCTCTGCGTAGGCGATTATTTGTATTAACAGAAAAATGTTTGATACCCGCGTTGCTGTTGTAATGACAATAAACATATTTAATACAAAGTGAAGGTACACGCATCAGCTTCTGGTTTATAGGCACTAAAATTGCAGATAAAATGACATTTGTCTTTAACTTATTCACTGTCTACAGCTTGCATAATAAATATGTGGTAAAACCATAAAAACAAATATACCATTCCTTTTGGGCTGATTTGAGTCACAAAAATAAACATTTGCGCGTTTTTGCTTGTGAAGATATTGAACATTATATTTGATCAAGCTCTACCCACATTGCACCCCATGTGCATTTATATATTTATTTTTTTGTGGTGCAAAAATTAACATTTGCACCGGCCCGTTTTAGGCAATGTTGCACATTATACATGATAAAATCCCCACACACTTAGGACCCGATGTTATTAACGTTTAAACGTGTATATGCTTGGGTTTTTAGAAGACTATTAAAAGCACTTGTACGTAGGTAGAGGGTAAATGTGTATGGGCATAACCCTTGCCCACCGATAAACCCCAACCACTTATTTGCCTGAAATAAGCAAACCACAGACTTGCTTGGAGAAAATAGGCCTCAGCTTTATTAAAATATAAATATATAAATCTTTAAACTTCAAATTTATAACATAAAACATTCTATATACATAATTTACGCAGTAAATAAATATCTGTCCCTAGTACCACCTTGCCAACCAAAAAACATTCGCTTAGGGCAGCTGCCCTCCCCCCTCGTTCCAACCAGCACAAGGCCTTTTCCTGGGCCTTCCATTCTCGTAATGCTAACCACTAGCCGATTATTGGCTCAGTGGGCACGTCTGTTATCCATAACTGTACCTGAGGTTAGGGGAGGGACAGCCCTACTAATCCACTTTCCACAGGCCGCTGGTCCAACCCACGGTTGACAAGGGCCATATACCACCACAAGACCTGCTGATTTACCCCCTAACACCAAAGCCATGGCCTTCTCCAACCCATCCTGCAATGCCAAATTAAACAAATCAAGTCCCACCTCTGTAAGGTGGACCCCATCACCCATAAAATACACCACTGCATTTTGCTTGAAGATTCGATGACGCACCGTGAGCCCCTCCAGTCTCTTCACAAATTTAGAAACACTCTTGTTCAGCTTTATCCTGCTCCATTCAAGCGCCCTGGGGTAACTTTCTCCCCTCCAATAAGTCCTGGACAGCACCTCGGACCAAAAGATACAAAGTCTCAGGAACTTGAACTATAACTCGGCCAAATCCTTCTGGATAGTTTCACCCAGATCCCACACCGGAACAGTGCCAAGATCGTTTCCCCCCAAATAATTCAAGAGTACATCAGGAATGCAGAGTAAGAGAGCCAACCCTGACCATTTCAGGCAACAGATGCTCGCTCCGCATACCCTTGGAACTGAACCAACGGACCTCTGCCACCGCCGGTGACAGACCAAGATGTAGTCCCCTGGGACGAATGCAGCATTAAACGCACCACCCCAACAAACCCGTGGCAGAACACAAAACAGGCCAACCATAAGAGCGCCCAAAACCGGCCTCCGAGAATCTGAAATCTTGGGCCCCTCATAACCAATGAGACTAAACATCCTTTGTGATATCCATGGCCCTAGTGAGTTTGAACCAAAAACTGAGCCCGGACATTTTACCCGAAACAGCCGAGGAGGAACAGCCCAACGCTTCCCAGAACCAGATTAACTGTAACAGACCTTGCAACTGGAAACCTCAGAGCCACCTCTGAAATTTTACCCACTCACCCCATGCCTTACCATAACGCTGCCAAGTAGATTCCGAGACCGAACCCCAGACACAGGACATTATCCGGTCAGCCCAAGATCCCAGATATCCATCAGGCATTGAAAGTCCACCTCGTCCGCCCCCGGGTACCGCCGCTCTGAACTCCCGCCACTGAAAATGAGAGAGCATTGCACAGCTCTGCGGTACACATGCAAAATCAGGCAACACAGAACCAGACATTGCAGCAGCTGAACCACAGGAGGGGGAGATGTTGACAAATTGTTAATTACCAACACCACCACCATACTATCACAGTGGAAGACCACCCTCCGCTCCTGTAGGAGACCCCCCCCCCCCAGAGCTCCACCTCCACCACTATAGGTAAAGGCTCCAAGAAGGCCAAATTCCTTGCCAAGACTCTGGCCAGGAGTCCGCACACCAGTGGGCCTCAAAGATGGCCCCAAAACCCACCACCCCGGCCGTGTCAGTAAAGAGATAGAGCTCAGCATTGGACACCTCACGTGCCTGCCAAAACCTTCCAAGAAGACTGACCAAACTACCAGGTCCTTGCACAGGGGGCAAGTGAACCGCACATAATGATGAGGGCGCTCCACCCTGGGGATCGCTGCTGCTAAGCGACGAGTAAACACCCTCCCCATGGGAATAATTCGGCATGTGAATTGCAGCTTACCCAAGAGTGACTGCAGCTGTGGCAATTGAATTTTCTTGAGAATCCGTGCAAATCCTACACCTTATTCTCCAGCAAACGACACTCCCAGGTGACCGAATCGATCGCAATCCCCAAGAAACTTAAAACAAGAGTAAGGACTCACCGTCTTATCAGGGGCCAGAGGAACCCCAAAAAAACGTGAGACTGACTCCAGGGCCTGAAGAAGGTGTGAACACACATCCGAACCTGCAGGACCGACAAAGAGGAAGTCATCCAAGTAGTGTAGCAGCGAGTTACAAGCCGCTTCCTCCCGCACCACCCACAGATCGAGCAACCCATGGGCAGGCACAAGTCCACATAATAACTATCCTGGTACAACTGCCGAGCAGATGGTGGCAGTCCGGGTGCACCGGAAGCAGCCGAAAGGCCGATTCGACATCCGCTCTTGCCATAAGACCACCTGAACCCTCAACCATCCGAACTGCCGCGCCGAAAGACGCGTACGATACCCTGCATAGTTCCACATCAATATTGTCATTCACTGATCCCCCAAATGGGTAGGACAAGTGATGAATCACGCCCAACTCGGAGACCTGTAGGTTAGGAATTGGTGGAGCCAAGTACGAGCCCACCATACACCCCAATGACAGCTCCTTGTTGAGCTTGTCTTCTACCATGTCAGGGTGATCCCGAACCGACTTGAGGTTCTGACAGACCCCAAGAGAATCCCTAACCCGATGGGGAATCCAAAACCCATCGCAGAAACTCCCGAGCAGCAGTTCAGCTGCTTTGCGGTTCCTATAACAGTTTAGCCACAGGAGCATCACGTCGGCATCCTTGCCTTTCGAGACCATGGTATTCCTCCGCTCATCAGCCTTACCCCACTTGAAGCAGCGGGCTGCGGAGTGAGAATCCCCACACCCGTCGCATACAGGTACACCAGGAAGCAACTACCACGCAATTACCAAGCTGTTACTAACTGATAATTAAGATGGCTGCTATCCTGTAAGCTGCCTACCTATTTATACTAACCCACCCCTTTGCCCCTTAATATTCCTCCCACCATTAAAAGACCTCCTTACCATTCTATCTACACACTCCCCCTCACCTGTCCCTGTTCTGTCTAGGTCTTGCCTGACTCCTCAGGGCCGGGTATAGTGTAACTTGGTGCCCAAATAAGTGCCCTATTCCTTACAGGAATTGATGTGTGTGAATTACATGCCAACCATTTTATTTATGCTGGAATAAAGATGAGGGGAGTTTGCTGGATAAAATATGAATATGAAATAAAATTTGCAATGTATTCAAAGTCAAACCAGCACAAACATTTTTGCAACAGATATTAGCACGGGTGGATGGTATATTTGTTTTTAAAATGTAATAACATGGGATGTAGAGTTGGCAGTGCTTGAAGTCAAATAATCTAAAATATAATGTACAATATCTGCAAAACCAAACAAATGATCAGCACATAAATCAGAAAAAAAATCAGAAATGATTTGGAAAAATACTGGAATGTTTTCACATATGTTCTTAAAACCAGTTTTACCAAGAATGCCTGTTTGTAAAAACAAAAAGTGTGCACTGAATGTAAACATGTTCACTTAT